TCATTGTCATTAACGGTACTGCTCCAGAGAAACTGATATTTTAAAGTTTTTTTAAAAAAGATCCTGAAATGACTAAGGACTCAGTGAAAATACAAATCGAAGTAACATAGATCATAGAATCATTAAGAGGATACAAAGGCTAAAACATGATATGAAAATAAAATTGAAGGCAGGTGGATCAGAGCTGCTTTAGAAAAAATCTTGGTTTTAAAGATGTTAAATTTCACCTAATTGCTTTCTAAGAAAATCTAGATGTCACACTTGTTCCAAGCTATGTGACTAAGTTTACTGATTATATAGTGCACATCTACTGCAATCAGCTATGAAAACTTTAATGAGAATCTAAGCTCAGAAAACATTTTTTTCCCAGAGGATGATGTAAATTCAAATAGAAGAAATGCGAACTATACAAAGCAATCATCATAGAAAGAAATAAAGAATTTTCCAAAACACCAGCAGGTGTGAGTGGTGCCTGATTATATAGAATTCGATTGAAATTCTGTTCTCCAGTGGGTGGGAGTGAGGGGACCATGTGTATACCGATAAACTTTCCATAAATTTATTTTGAAATAGATTTTCCTTGAAACTTTTTCAGAACTCACTTTCATAAAATAAAGTTTTGCTATGGTTGTTAAACTGAAGACATTTTTAAATAATATTTTTTACCTTTACTCAATTTTTGGATATATTAAATCAGTTATCAATAGTTATGAAGGATTTATTTTACTTGGATCCACAATCAAGTTCAATGGAAGCAACAGACAGGAAATCAAATGGCACATTGGGCAAATCTGCTGTAAAAGACACTTCTACAAGTGTTACAAAGCAGACATGTAACCTTATGGACTAAAGTGTTTGTAACCCAAACCAGCAATATAGCATGGAGTTCAAACAGCATGATTAAATCTGTCTTGGAATAAATAGAGTCAGAATGTTTCTTAGAAATGAAGATGAATAGACAGGTCTCACATACCTTCAACACATTATCAGAAGGGAAAATTCATTTTGTGAGGACTTACTGCTTAATGATATAGAAGGTCAGTAAAAAATGGGAAAGGTCTTCAAAATAGACAGTGGTTGAAACCAAGGGCTCAGATAAAACAACAATTGTTAGGGTGAAGTGAGGACTGTGCAGGGCTGGGGATTTGTTTTTCCTGTTGTTCATAGGGTCACTCTAAATCGAAACCAACTAGAAGGTACCTAAAAAGAAAACACGTTCTACAAAATCCTAGTTTTGCTTTATGTCATTGACATGTATAATTGCATCTAGCAATGTATAGAGTATAACAAAAAATATTTGCAAGCAAAGTTTAGTACTCTAGTTTAAGCAAACTCAGTCAGGTGTCCTGCATGCAAGGGATTGAAAATACAAGAAGCTTGGATATTTCTGCCATTCACCAATATGTAAATTGATTTTGTTTCAAAGTCTCACAAAATACCTCCAACCTTGCCATAGTCTCTCATTTATTCAAGACCCTCTGTTTCCCTCATTCTTAACACAGCATAATCTCCATGGTGTGCAGTCTCTCTTATCGATCTGATTACTAGATGCAAAGCTTCCCCTAAATCCCTATTTACTGCTTCAAATGTCAAGCCCCCTGTCTCTAAGCAGGGTAAAAAACATTATGAATTTCCATTTCCAATCAGTGCTTACACTGTTTATATTTCTTTCATTCCCCCCCTTCTGAAAATGATTTTTTTGTGTGTTTCTTCTAATTCATTTACTCCTGTTCTTTGAAACCAAGCACGTTTAGCCTTAGCCAACTCTCTCTCAGCATTTGTTTGCCTTAAATAGTCATGGATTGATGGCAGGTGTTCTGTTGGATTTTTTAAAAAATGTATACCTATTTTTTTTCTATTTACAGGTTACTTAAGGTGTGTGGCCTTTTCTGTATCCCAGTAATACTGCAGGTATGAATCCTCTGCGGTATATTTATTCTTCTTGTGTTTCAGTGATTGATTAAGGAGGGAATTAAAATATTCTTAATCCTGCTGTAGCTACTTTCTTCAAATCTGAATATCTTGTATATGAAAAATACATCTTCAATGGGAGATTAGAATGGAGGAAAATTATAATATCTGTGTATAGACACTAACGTCCCGCATAGTTATTCATGATTAGCTCCAAATTTGGTCCTGGAAGCTCTGCAATAACAGGGCCACTCAAAAAGAGTGGATTTGTGTGTGTTTGTGTGTGTGCGTGTGTGTGTGTGTGTGTGTCTGTGTGAAAAAGAAAACTTTTCTGACTTCTCAAGAAAAATACAGTTTTCTTAACACCTAAGCCTAGATGATATTTTTTACAGAAATCTTACTTAAATACTATTAAAAGCTAGATGAAAAATAATTTCTGTAACATTTTTATATATTAATTATGCCATGTGTTATTTAACTGGGTCAAATTGTGATGCTATTTTTAATTCAACAATGATGCATCAGAAGCATATATGTGTTAGGTGCAATGGTATCTTATTAGTTCTAGGACATTTTCAGTCTGCCCCTGTCAATATGTCATTTCGAAGGGCACCTGGGATGTAGTAATGATCCTGCTTAGAAGAGCAAATTTGCATATTCCTAGCTACATCATCGTAGTGACATATAAGTGAGTGAAGAAATGACAACCATAATTTGATTCAATATTTAAACAGGATTTTATTCTTTTCTTTTGTAGATTGAGTCGTTTACTTTGTGATCTGAAAACTGTATAAACTCCTCTTATAACTACAAAAATCTCTTCTAGGTTGAAGTTAAGGGAGAGAGAAGTAAAGAAAATACGTTGTTGGTTTTTAAAAAATTAATTCCTATTTAAAACTACTCTGAAACACATTATAAAATGTTGTCGTGAGTCAATAAGTTTCTATGCTGATTCTCTTTAAGCCACATTTTGTTCTGAGTTGGATATAAAATTATCCTAAATGAGACCTCAAGAATTTTATGACATTATCTTCAATATACTTTCTGGGCATAAAAACAAAGCATAGCTCATATAAAATATTACTTTAAAGAATAAATCAATATGTTTCAAGTATTCAGATTTTTGTATGACAACCATAACACCAAATTATATGTGATGGATTATTGACAAGAAAATATTTTCTATAACATTTGTTATTGTACAATTTTTAAAAAATATACAAAATACATATAATCTTTAAAAATACCAAATATATAATAAAAAGAGATACAATTACTGTAAAAGTTACAAATTAGAAGAATAAAAATTAAAAGATAATTTACTTCATAAATATTGGAGATTTACATTCTTAAAGGAAATATATGCTCATGGATACTTGCATATATTATTTTACTTAAGTGTTCTTTTATTTTTTATTATACTAGTTATTTTATCAATTAAATTAAGGGGATTTAATTAAATATATCTTATTTATATCCAACTGGAATAGGTTAAGGATCATAGGTACCTCAGAGTTAAGGATCATGGAGGCTTGAAGTTTAGGGTTATTAATTCTGATACTCAAAGTGCAAAGACTGTATCTGGCATACTTCTCCAGTTGGCAGCTACAGTTCAGTAGCTAAATGAGAAAGAGGTTTGGGAGAAAGAAATTACTATGAAAAATAGACAGAACTAATGCTCAGATACTAAAAGAACTTGATGCTAAAAGGACAGATGAGGATAACATAGAGAACTATACCAAGCTGTAAACAGAGTTAAGCAAAGTAAAAAACAAAGTCAAATATTTTCTTCTTTTCAATTTGAGTGGAATATGATTCAAATAATATTTGAACACATCTTAATCTCTTGATATCCTCAGTGTGTTAGACAGGCTTCTCTAGAGAAACAAAACCAGGCAACGTATGATTATATATGAGTAAAAATATAGGTTTATACAGCGAGAAGGACTATAATGGCTAATTAAGTCAAATAGCAGTACAGAGTTCAGCTCACTTTTGTGAAACAGTCAATATAATGGAAGTTCTTCAGCTCACATAAGTTGCCAGGTCCAAAGTCAAGGAAGCTGACACCAGAGTCCTCCCTGAGGCAAGGCAAGCAGAGTCTTCCCACAGGAAGCAAGCAGCAGGGTAGATCACCCACAGTTAGTAGCTCAGGAACTTAGCAAAGCAGGCCCAGATAGGATAGCAAACACAAGCAATGCAAGGTGACAGGATCTATCAGCATCAAGCTCAAGCGATGTATGCACCAGCAGCCTGGTAAAACAGGTCTTGAAGGACTATCAAGCTTTAGCAACACAATCCATGGATTGACCTGGCCCACAGGTAGTATAGCTCACAGGTTGAGGCAGTGAACTAGCTCACAGGTTGAGGCAGAAATACACATGCTCCAGCACACTCCACCATCCGTGATCAGCAGAGAGCAAGAGAGAGGGGGGCAGGCCTTGCAGAGCTGTTTATTTCTTTACCCTACAGTCAAACAGTGAGCTATTTAATCCCACATGTTCCTATTGGCCTAGTTGGCCCAATAAACCTACCTATCACAGTCTACCCTTTGCCAACTTGGTGCCTGTACACAAATATTTTAGCCATATATAATTTCCAGACATTAATGAAATCACACTTATACCCAACATCAAATATCTATCACATATATAAATGAAAACACACTGAATCTAATTTTATCTGGTACATCACACATGAACAAAAGAAATATATTCAATAAGCACATATAAAGAAAATAAACTGACAATCACAAACCTCACTTTTGCAATTGATCAAATGGTCGTAAACACTAGGTAGAACTACCTTCTGCTACTACCCACTCTGTATTACTATTGCCCTTGGCAGCACCTCAGCTGGCCGGAGTTGTTTGCCTGGTGGGGTGACCCAGACCTTCATTCTTGAGGGGTCTGGGCCATTAGACGTCCTGTCAGGATTGGGTTGCTATAATTTACTATTTACTTTAATCACAGGGCATGGTAGTACTAAGAGATAACCTATGGGATCTCCTGGATCCCAGACATATTCTTCTTTACCTCCATTATGTAGCACCAGTCCAAGTTCTCTTTGGCAATCAGGGTCAATCATACCACTTAATACCTGATACCCATCCCGACTTGTTGATCCAGAGTCATGAGGAGACCCAAAATCATCAGGGGGCATTCTCCACTGCCCCCTGTTCAGCGGAATAAGTGCTGTGCTTCCAGGTGGGAGAGTTCCTTCCTTAGGGACTACGACCTTCAGACCTGAAGCACATAGGGTTGCTGGGACAAGAAGCAAAAATGTAAATGGATCATTAGGAGTAATAGTGAGTGGTGCCATGCCAGCTACCATCCCTTGGTTCCTGGACCCATGAATTCTGGCTATTAGAGACACAGCACCATATATCCGCTGCTGGTTTAGAACGTAAACAGCCTGCTGGAGAACATTGCCCCAGTTGTTGCCACCTCGTCCTGTAATTTTGTCTTTAGTAGGCCATTCCATCGTTCGATCAAGCCAGCTGCTTCAAGATGATGATGGAAATGATATGACCAGTAGATTCCATGAGCATGGAATCAATTCAATCAAGCCCTTAGCCATATCCCATGAAGCAGCACACAGTCTAACATTTCTCCTTCCAGGCAAACTGAACAGCCAGGTGCACTGCTCAAAGTTCTGCCCATTGGGAAGATTTCCCTTCACCATTGTCCTTTAGGGAGATTCCAGAAAGGGTCTGTAGTGATACTGCTGTCCATTTATGAGTGGCACCCACATATTGTGCAGAACCAGTAAACGAAGCATGAGTTTTCTTTTCTTCAGTCAACCTATCATAAAGAACTCCCCAGTAATCCATAGGTTCAGACTGGGAGAAGGAAGGTACTGTGACAGGAGTGGAGACTGGACATTTGGGCCACTTTTCCATGCAGCGTACTTGTATCTTCAGGTCCTGATCTAGCCTGACCTAGACCGGCTATTAAGGACACTTCAACGAAATTATGGCACAGGGTGGAAGAGTTGATGAACCCCTAAGAGACAGTTATGAAAGTGTATTTTTGCCCTTCCAGCTGAAGGCAAACTGCTTCTGGTGGTCCTATGAGACCGGTATTGAGAAGAAGGCTTTGGCTTGATCAGTTGCTGCATACCAAGTACCAGAAGTATTAATTTGCTCAAGCAATGAAATCACATCTGGGATGGCAGCTGCAATTAGAGTTACTACATGGATAGGATCATACACTGTTCTTCTCCAAGATCCATCTGGTTGTTTTTTTTTGGTTGTTGTTTTTTTTTTTACAGGCCAAATAGGTGAGTTAAATGGGGATGTGGTAGGAATCACTACTACTGCATCCTTTAAGTATTTGATGGTGGCACTAATCTCTGCAATCCTTCCAAGAACGTGGTGTTGCTTTTGGTTTACTATTTTTCTAAGTAATGATAATTCTAATGGTGTCCACTTGGCCTTTCCTACTGTAACAGCCCTGATTCCACATTTCAGGGATCTGAATCTGTGCTATGCCAGTTACTAAGTATGTCTATTTCAATGATGCATTCTGGAACTGGAGAAATAACAACGGGATGGGTTCAGGGGCCCACAGGGTCCACAGTGAGGCATAGCTGACCTAAAACTCCTTTGATAGCTTGACCCCCATATGCCTCACACACTGACTGGCAGCCTTTGAAACATTTTGGGTCTCCTGGCATTAGTGTCAATTCAGATCTAGTGTCCAGTAATCCCTCCAGTGTTTGATTATTTCCTTTCCCCCAATTAATAGTCACCCTTGTGAAAGGCCACAAGTCCCTTTGGGGAAGGGAATTATGTAGATTTATGGCATTGGCTACTTAGCCATAGTGTCTCTAGATGTGAAATACATGGGAAACCTACTAAATATTTACATGATCTATGCAGGTAGAAGAATGCTAAATAAGATGAACACCAGAATAGAGAGTCATGACCACTCAATCAATTCCAAGACCTGAGCCAGTTACAGACCCACAACCCCTTGAATGAGGGGAAGGCCAGATCCCGTTAACAAAGGACCCGCTACATCACTGAATGTTTATACTGTTAGTCTTCTAGCCTTCCCCAAAGGGGACGAATCTGAGGTCAGATCAGGAGATAAGTGCAGGACTGAGAGAAAAAGAGCATGCTCTACAGACCATCCATGTAAAAGAGAATTTCAAAAAGTTCACGGAAAAATTCCATTTATTTTATTTCTATGTTCACCAACTTTTTGAACTCTCCTTCTATATTAAATGCAGACCACAGCCAAAAGGAAACTCCCCTTCCAACTGATTGGCAGATCATATCAGTTCAGATCGTTGCTGAGACTGATTCCTTATTCTGAAGCAAGAGAGCTGTACAATGTTCTCTTTTGCAACATAGTTATAACAGATACTTTAGGAAAATAGACTAGGAGGCCTTTATTCCTAGCCTTTTTAGCTTGGAAATGCCATTAAAACTTTCCCATCCTTGATATCCTTGCTGCTCTTTAAATACTGATGGCTGTGCTTCTAGCATCAAAACAACATACAAATCACTATAGTACGGAAAAAACCTGGTAAGTAAATGATAGAACTCATTAATACCTATATTTTATGTTAGAGTGTTATTATTTTTTATTTGATAGTAATCCTATGGATTCATCAACACTGGTTTGCTTGTTTGTATATTTATATCGGTTGTCTAAATTTGTTTATATAGAGAGTAAGGATCATATTATTTTAGATGCCACAAAAGAATGTTCAGCGTTGAAGCAATTAAAAAGAACTGCTCTCTTCCTCTTCACTGTCATCCCACACATTGACAAGACTTTAGAATAAAAGAATAAAATTCCTCACACATAATTAGCCAGTACAAACTGAAAGAGAGAATTAAATAAAATATGTTCTTTTTTAAAGGCATGATCACCAATCTACAATTCACTGTATCACTGTTAATTTGTAAATGTATTGAATTTGTCAAAGCATTCCATCCTTCTGCAAAGTGTGAAAGGGACAAAGATAATGCTTTAAAACCCAAAGATGATGCTTTAAAACCCACAAGAGTGTTTAAAAATGTGGTTTTAAGCTTGATTAATTCAATCACAGAAAAAGAAATATAAAGAAGTAAAAAGTTTGTAACACTTTAATGAACTTTTCCTGAAAACATGATTCAAAGCATTCTCACTATATTTTGAATGTCATAACCTTTTCAAACAAATGTCTGATGTATTATCTTTATTAAATTCTTGGTCTATGTTGAATATAAAATAGATCATTTTAAAATAACAGTGATATTATGATCATAGTCAGTTAGGGATAATATATCGCTGATTCTTTAATCACTCAACCAAATAGTAAAGACCAAAGCCCAAACTCATGGCCATTGAGTCGGTTCAAATTCATAGCGACCCTGTCGTTTGGGATAGAACTGACTTTGTGAGTTTCTGCAACTGAAACTCTTTTAAGACAGTGGAAAGCCCCGTATTTTCCCCCTGGAGTGGCTGGTGGTTTTGAACTGCGGACCTTGCTGATCACTATGCCACCATGTCTCCCTCAACAAATTGCAAAGTGCTCTTTAATTAGAGAGCCAACCAACAATGTAATATATGGGATACATTGCTCTTTTTTCCCCAATTATGTAGATGTGACTATATGTACTAGTCACGTAGTGTATTTTATAAACTGAGATTCATCTGAGATTATTGAAAAAGTTAGAAAGTGTAGTTGAGTTTATGGATGTGTGTATTTTTCTATTCATTTTATGGTGTATACAATATATTATCATATATGATATAACCATTTCTCTGTGCTTATATGGTGATAGATATAAATATATATGTAAACATATATTCAGAAATATGTATGTATGTATAGTAGAGATGTGCACTTGTATATTTTAAAATGGTAGATCTTAAAATTGTAGCTCATACAATTTGGCAGAAATAATAGGCCACAAATCACATTAAAATGATCTGCTTACAGCACTTAAAATTTATTTCAGTAGATCTTTTAGTAGGATGTTTATAGACAGCACTAGATTTAATTTAGCAGGGTAAATCTATTGAACTTGTTTAGACTCACTCAGGCTACTGGTTCCAGAATAATTCTGTGTCATAAGTCTCTAAACCATCTGGGACAAGTGAACAAATGCTGAGATGTTTTTCCTACTTAGATAATGACAGATGTGAAAGATGTTAAGAGGTTATAAGTTTGAATTCATCCTAAAAGACCTTATAAAAATAGGTCTGACAATCTCTCTGTGTTCATAGTCAAAGCTTAAAGATCCTATGGAGTAGTTTTTCTCTGCACATTTGGGTTTGTCCTGAGTTAGAATCAACTGATGGCAACTAACAGCAATGCACCAATTGTTTAACTGGTAATTAAAATGCAGAAAGGTGCTATGTTAGTCTAGGGAGACTAAAGAGAGATTCATATGTGTATACGAAAGAGCTTTATATAAAAGAGTAATTGTACATTAAGAACTCTTTACAACCCAGTTCAGATCAAGTCCATACATTCAATATTAGCCCATAGGTCCATTACCAGTCTATAAATTCTTCTTCAGACTCATGCAGTACATGTAATGACACTGAATGCAGGAAATAAGGTCACAGGCCAGAGGGTGAAAAGTCTTGTGGCTCCAATGGTGATAGAAGCCTCTCAGTTCTTGTGTAGGTCTTCCCATGACTCCTCCAGCTCCAGGCCTCTGGCTGCATCAGTGTAGCTCCATCTGGCTTGTCAACAGCAATGTCTCAACGGGAGTGAGTGTATCTGGCCTCCAGTGAGCTATTTATCTCCCTTGTGCCTCTAAATTAGGTCATCAAGCTGCAACCTGATTGACAGGCTTAAACTCCACCCCTTCACTCTTGGTAGTCTCAAGTTGACACCAGATTATGTAACTACCACAAATGCTACTTAAATTAAACAAGTTGCAATGTTCAGAAGTATCAGACACCCATTTTACACCTCTGGCCAAGATGACACCACAGTTCTATGCTTTTCTCACCAGTAAGTATTAAATCCATAAATAAAAGAACAAAAGTATCTTTGGATGCATATGCTCAATGAATGCTGTTGGGCTGAAAACATGCTTTTCTTTTGGTCAGATGCTATCCTCACTTATTTGATAACTGGGAGATTCCCTTAAATATCTTGCCACCTGTGTTTCCTAGCATTGTAACTTGCTTCAACAAAGTCTTCAAGAAAGGCATCTCTTCATGAGATTTGTATGAGAGTGTTGTGTGTCTGCATGCACATAGTTATGTAAATCTCTTTAATATATTCTAATGACTAGAAGCAATTTATATATCTTACCCACACAAAATAAACAGTAAATATCAGAGAATATTAATATGAGTAAGCAATGATCATGAAGACCACCACATTAAGGTTGGGTCTTAATAAAATAGTAAGTGAGAAAGCATGAACTGAGGAAATTAAAAAAAAAATAGGATAGGAACTGGGGACAACTGGACTGTCCATAAAATTTGAAGTAATTTTATTGCAATCACAAGCAAAAAACAGTT